TCCAGGAAACATGTCGTTGAAGCCAGAAACAGTAGCAAAACGTTGCGCACCGGTTTGAGCTTGAACTCGCCCCTGGAGTTCTGAACGGAAACTACAACAAATATATAGCATATATATTTTTCCCATTTGCCCCAAATAGCAAAATAAAAATCCACGATAGCGTTTTTATTAGTTTCGATATAACAGCCTGCATGCTGGGTTAACTCTGTCAGGCCTTTTTCAGCATTATACTGCCTCTAGCTGAATGACTGTCATTTTCATAACTGCATATAGTCTAATTTTTCATGGCCACTTTATTTTAGGTACATAAGAACCACATTCGAACAGACTTGTATTTATTTATTTACATACAGATCACGTTCAAGTACACTTGTTTTATTTTTCCATATTTGTATGTTTTTATTAAGTTACTTACATATCACATTCAAGCACACGTGTTTTTATTTGTCTGTTTGTTACTGTTAAAATGCCTTTTTTTTTTCATGTAAATTATTGTTTTTACCCTTGTCCAAGACTTTCAATGTTCAAATCTTTCAATCGCACATTCACAGAAAATAAGGTTACTTCCACGTTGCAAGATAAGTCATTCATATGTATACTATAAAGGCATCTTTATGTTTGTATAGCCTAATAATTATGGTACTTTAGGTCGCACTTGAAGTGCAATGTAAGATTTGGGTCCTTAAACTTAATCTTATGTTGTAATTAACCATTTTAAACAAGTTACAAAAAATTAATGACGCATGTAGACAGTTTGTCTTCATTAGCGCAATCTAATTAAACTTCTGTCCCTCTAGCAAGACATAGTGACACTCCGTTGTGCTTTCCAAACAAAACCTGCCAGCACACAAGACACATTTCAATTCAATTATCGTTTGAACGTACCTGTCATGGATGACTTCCCAAATGAACCATTTGCAATTCTGGATTAGTTCCATAAGTTGCCTTGAAATACTAAAAATGGCAGAGTTTCCCATCACTAAATTGGTTAACCTCTGACTGCTGAAGTTAACAAATCATGATGGCGGATCTCGAGCTTTCCTGAGCGCTCTAATGGAAGCCTGTGGATGTTTGGTATGATGGAGTTCATGAGCATTAGTGTAACTTGGAGGACGCCCAAGTCACACATTTGCAGGTGAGTGTGTGATTGCAGGAAGCTGAACCTTCATTATAAATCTGCCTGGGTGTTATTAATGCAAATTGCTTTTTTGATATTGTGCTGCATCATTGTATTGAAATCCATAACGTACAGAAAACCGAGAAATGTTGTCAGTAACCTTGCCTGAACACACTCCGAGTTCCCGCACCTTTTAACAAATGAATTTCTGTGACTTTTACAGTCATTCATGATTGCTGGATTAGTTTGCAAGCAATTGTAACTTTTATTATATAAAAAGATATGATAACCATAGAAATGTCATTTTTAATCGTGTGAATCATTTTTTCAATCATACGAAATTTCATATGATTTCATATGGCTTGGAAATCACTTTTGGTTACTCTGGATTGCAGGATTAAAAATCTTATAGTTTGCAATAAACTTTTATTTAAATATGTCCTTTTTTTAATCAAGATTTCAGATTGATTTTATGCATATCAGGGTTATTGTAATGAATTAAAACTACAAATTAAAATATAAAAAACAAAGTATTTTTATTTTAACTTTAAGTACTGAAATAACTAAAAGTGAAACAAATTCTGAAAATACGAACTATATAGACATTTAAAAAAAAACAAAAAAAATGGCAAAAACACAGCAAAATTTTAAATGAAAACAGGAAATATAAAAATTCTAAATATTAACAAAATCTATAATAGTATACGATGATACTAAAATTACGCTTATTAATTTAATTAACTACATGTCTTAAAAATGTATTTCTGTGATTTTTTTTACTAGTCATTCAATAAAAAAAAAAAGTATATTTACTATAGAAATTTAATTTCTAATCACGCTTTTTAAAAGATTTCATGCATATCAGGGTTATTATACTTAATTCAAACCAAAATTCAAATTTTAACTTAAAATTTAAATTAAAAAAAAAGAATTAAAAATATTTTAGTTTGGCTTTATGCACTAAAATAACTAAAACTGAAATAAAAAAAGTATTACAACCTATTTAAAAAACAAAGCTAATAAAAATGACAAAAACACCACAAAATTAAAACTTTAACAAAATTTAAGATGAAAATGGAAAATATAAAAATGAATTCAAAATAATTAGCCTATTAGCCTGTATATCAAAGTACACTAAAATAACCCTGATGCATACTGTGTATTCCAAATGATTTAATTAAATACAGATCATAATTAAAAATGTTCTGATATTTTCAGGTTTCCTTTGCCAGAAGTAACCTATGAAATAAAGTACTTACATTTATAAAGAGTTTAATCTATTAAAACACATGATTGACACCCAACATAATTTCTTCCATCCTGCGCTGTCTCTTTTGAAAGTGCAACCATAAATAGGCCACAACTGTGGTTACATTTGCGATGAAAAGATGATGAAATGCAATGCGAATATACTTATCATGCATTGAAAATACTTTTTATAATGCATTATAAATACAGG